AACAGTCTCTACTCCAAAAGAAGTATCAACTTAAAAAGCAATTCTGCGTCTCTAGGTTGCCAGGTAGACCACTGAAGGCATTTTTACCATCTTCCAGGGTCTGGGTCCTGGACCTTCAAGCACACAGCCGTGCAGGGCTTTTTCACACCCATGTGGGGCCAAATCCACACGGCTACCAAGCAGCGTCGCGGCGGGAGCCCCGGACAGTCTATCGAGGGAGGACAGCCGGCTGTACTGCCCGGCCCTGCTCCACACACAGCCGGGCACCCGCGGCCCGCGGTGGCTGGATTTGTTCTGGACTTCACCAACTTCACAATTCACCAGCGTGACACACCGCCTTAACACGGGGCAGGGGGCGGGAAGGAGAAGAGAGGAGGAAAATCCCCAACGAGGAACTAGCCAGAAGCACGTGCTCCTCTCGCTGCCGCCTCCCGGCCTGGACTGGCGTCCCCGGGCTGAGGCGGCGTCCGAGTCTTGCAGGCATCTCTGGGCGCCGCGCCCGAAGCTCGCCGACGGCGACCCAAAGGCCCCTGGCCACGGCGGGGACGCTGCGGGACACCCGGCGGCGCCCGGGCTCTGCAGGTCCCGCGGAGCAGGGGGCGGGCGGTGCCGCCGTCAGTCAGCGGCCGCGGAAGGCGGTGCCTGAGCGGGTTGGCGAAGGCGCCGGGGGCGGGGGCAGAGCCGGCGGCGGGCACGGCACCGCCGAGGCACTGAGGCGGCGAGCGCGGTCGGGAGCGCGGCGGGACAGGCGCACGGCAGAGAGCGGGGCGTCGCGGCGGTAGCCGCTGCCCGCCGGTGGGAGGGAGGTGGTGGCGGCCCCGCCGCTCTTGCTGTTCCTGCTGCTCCTGCTGCCACCGCTGCTGCCGCTGAGGTAAAGCGAGTCCTGCTGCATCCGCTGCAGCTGGTGCTGGCCCTCGGGCGGCCGCCGGGGGCACGGGAGCGGGGCGGGAGGGGGCGGCGCGGGGCCGTGCGGCCGCCCGGAGCCAGGGCACCGGCCGCCCCTGTGGGGTGACAGCGCGAGCGGCAGCGCCGCCCCGCGCAACTTTTTCCCCCGTGCCGGGGCGGGCCGTCCGCTGCGGCCGAGGCCGAGCCCCGGCGATGGGGCAGCCTGTCCCCTCGCGGCCGGGGGCGGCTCGGCCCCGCGCTTCCTGGACGGGCAGGGCGAGCGGCCGCCGGGGGCTGCCCGCGGGGCGTGGGGAGCCGGACTGGTACCCGCGCCGGGATACAGCCCCCCGGGCGGCGGAAGGAGTGTCCGTAGGGAGCGCTGGGGCGGGAGCGGTCGGCTCGGCGTCCTCCGTGCCCGGGCCTCCGCCATCGAGCGCCGGCTCGGTGCAGCCCTGCCCCGGCGGTGGAGGGACAGCAGCCCCTGAGCAGCGGCCCCGGAGAGCGGCTGCTCTGCGGCGGGGACTGCGTGTCGGCGCGGGCTCCGGAGTGGTTAACCTGCCGGCCTCTCCAACGGGACGGAAGTTCAGACTGTACTGCTTTCCTAAGTTTTTTCATTATCACCTCCCTTTGTCCATAGTTTGCAGCCTTTATAAGGTCTTTGAGATGTTTCAGAACGAGACGTGGTGTATATTGCTTACAGTACTTATTCAATGTGTATCTATTTGGACTCGTGTAAAGACTTGTGGTAGAATCTCCACAGATTCAAAACAATTATTTCAGACTGTAAACGGTATAAAGGTATTACTACGTGATACATCACGGACCTCCCTTTCTTGCAGAAAACAGTGTTCTAATGTGGTACTTGGTCGTCTCCACTTGGAGAGTATATTTCAGAGAAAGCTGCAGTTTGAGTCACAGGTGTGTAGACACCTAGTGGGGAGAAGACTTTGTTCTCCAAGCAAATTTCCCTGCTTACCCCACAATTCTTATTATTTCAGTGTCCCCCTGAGTATGTTAGTCGGCTCTTCTATCTACCAAGCTTATCCTGCAGTGGAAGGGAGATTGCAGGGATTTCTCTAGGGATTTTTGGAAATTGTTAGAGAGATTGCACTGCAAGAAATATGGTTATTAAATTTGTTAATATAAAGGTGAAGAAAATCTTTGCGTCTTGTACTAGGCATGCTGTACCAGTAACAGCCCACCGCTCTGGTATCACTGTGCATGCAAATGCAGTGTAGAAGTTTTTATTCTCCAGCTCCAAAAACATGATAGCTTGTGTGGGAGGAAACCCTTGGGTACCAGTGAAGTGGGAGCCAGATGTCTTTTTTAACAGGGGAAGAAAGGGAGGGTGAAGGGGAAGATTTCATGTCCCCTTTGTTTTTCACCTAAATTTGTAGGAATGTCTCGAATTTTTCTATTGAATATTAAATTTTTTTCCCTACTGAAATGCTCAATGTAAATGATTCTGCTAAGAGATCGGAATTCTGCCTGAACTCAGGAATCTTTTAGTGGCATCATGCTCTTAGACAGTAAATAAAAAACAAATGAACATTGATTCTCCTCCTGTACTTCTTCTTCCTTTTCCATTTGACCAGCCAAATGGAAATCCAGTAATAAAATCATCTCAAATATAGGAGTATTTCTTCCCTAAGTGTTTGGTTTGTTTGTTTCAATCTATTTAAGATGGTGTTCAAGCTATATATTTTAGGACCAGTCAGCTTAAGTCAAAATGCCTGAATGTAGAGACTGTGTAATTTCAATTGGAGTAAAAGGAATTTTTTTTTAATGCAGGATCTTAGCCAAGCACTCTAAGAGGCATTTTGCATACACTGTGGTGTTACTGAGCAGGTGAGGAAAACTGGTGTTTGTCCCTGTGTTAGATCTGTATGCAAGGCTCTTGAACTCTGAGTCTTAGTTCATCCCTGAACCTGAGACACAGTAACAATAGAAAAAGGCGTAAATCCAAGGAGTTCACAATGGCTGACTCACAGGAGTGTCTCCAGGTACATGAACCGTAGATCAGGAGGGCAGATCCTGGGTACTCTGTACTGAGGGTGGTGCTGACAAGTGAGCATGAACAGGTACTGCAGCTCTGAGCCCCAAGGCAACTGGATGAAAGGAAACTTTGCTATCAGAACTTCATTGCGTTTTTCTAACGGTTTGAGTTTTTAAAATATGCTTTAAAATTGTCATAAGAAGTTCTACTACAACATTTCCAGTTCTGTATGTTCAAGAGATTAATAAGAGACAGAAGTACTCATTTTAAATATATGGCCATAAAGTTGCTATCATACATTTGATAAAAAAGATCAGAGGAGTAGGTCAAGTCAGTTGAATTATGCAGTGTTTGGAAGACTTCCTTGGCTGCCAAAATGCCCACAGGCAGTAGGAGTTAAATAAGTAGTTGTAGCAGAGCACTTGTTGAACCTTCCTTAAAAAGAAAATAAATATTTCAGAGTATTTAAAGTAGTCAAAGTGGTAATTTTCTAGCAGGCTTTGCTGCGTGCATAGTTGGTTTTGATTGGAAACATTTGTATTAATCATAATGCTTGGATCAAAACTGTTAAAGTGCATTTTTTTTCTCTTGCTACATGAAACAGGAGAAATCCATGCTTTTGTAAAGGCTTCTCTGCTATTTAGTTGATACACTGGTACCTGTACTTTTTCCACAGTTTTTGTCGGTAGACTTTTATCTGGTAGAAGAGTCAAAATTAAATATAAGTGAAACTATTCATGCTAATTACAAAGTCTATGGTATTTGGTAGCATCAGTCAGGTAGGCAACATAGTTTGGTTTTTCAGAAGTGGCTGCAGAAATCTCTAATTAAAACTTTGGTGTGAGCTGGGTGCCTAATACACGTGGATAGATTTGCAAGTTGTTAAAATAAATACTTATGTGCAAGCTTTTTGAAATAGGAAGTCTAATTCAGGCCCACATAATTCTTTCCTACAACAAAAACTGGTTGCAAGGGATGATAAGGAAGTTCTTTTAGAGCTTAACAAGATCTTCTTCTGTGTTCTGTCAGGAGAGATGTTGTGCAACATGCTGCAGGGACCTGATGGGCTGAAGAGGAGCCACATACAAATTAGGGATCAGGTTTATTCACTGGCACAGAAAGTCCATATGCGTTCCTATAAACACTTCTTAGCTTGTCAATCACATTTCAAAGGACTTGATGACTGAGGCATTAGAAAAAATTGTGTGGAAAAGAGCTGTCAGATGTTCCCTGTTCCAGCCCTGTCTACTGATGTCTCTTTACAGTGTAAAAAGGGAGTGTTTTACAAAAAAAAAAAAAAAACAAAAGGGCTTTCTATACATTGAATGCAAAGTACATAGTCAATATTTACCTGCTGGTATTACACAGCTCTCTCAAGTCTTTTATTCAGATGTAGTTTAGGACTTTCTTTGCAGCTTTGCGTAGTTAGTACTTTCTGGTTTCCAGTATAGCATTTCAAATTATGATTTGGCTTGTCTTTTTAAGTAGATGAAAATGAGTAACAGTTGAAATAATATTTAGAAAGCTTTCACTGTTCTATATGTCTTCAAGCAACTGTTCTCTAAATAGATTTGGGTTTTAGTCATATTTTTCTTTTACTTTATGGTTGGGCAACCTTGAGCTAAAAGTTCAGGCCTGTGTTCTCTTGCCTTTAATGTAATTTAAGCCTGTACCCTGATACTTCACTCCGGCTAGGGCTGCTTAGGTGGTCTGGGTGTGCCTGTTTCACTTGCTGATTGTTTTTCTAGTATTATACCATAAACACATTAAAAAACATCTGGAAGATGGGGGAGTGGTAAAGCCCCTCTTTAAAAAAGAAAAAGGGGAAATATGGTAGTCATCAAGTAAAAGTTCTTTTGAGTCTTTGGTTCTTCTACAGATTACAAGAAGACCCGTTCCTCCAAAAGGTTTTTGAAATACAGGCGTCAGGATGGGGATTGTTGCCCGTCCTCACCCTTGTCATAAAGAGGAGGAGACTGGATACCCCAGTGGTCAGTGCTAATTACAGTAAGCTCCTCCTCTGTCTTGACAGACCTTTTGTGGAGAAGGGGTGTGGCTGTCTGGCTTCGGGGAGATAGTATATAAAGTCTTGCTGCCTGGTTAGATACTGCACCAGAGTGGAGAGGAGCAGCTCCAGGGCTTAGCCCTCTCACTCTGAGGCTTTTCAGTAGCCGTAAGTCACAGAGAAGGAAGTGTGCCTCATACTGCAGGGTTACAAATTTAGTTCAAGTTATTTGACATATATCCTTTATAAAAATGCAAACATTTGCTGTAGATATTTTTTGTGCTCTTGCTTGATTTTATTGTCACATAGGATTCTTGTGTGGGACAGAGTCTTTGCCAGGGTTGCAGAAAGCTTAAACCAGAGGTAGAATCCCAAGTTCACAATCATCAAGTGAATGTGAAATGATTTCATGACATTTCTCTTCTCTTTCCAGGAAAAGCATGTGTGCAGAGTTTGGTGGCAGAATATTTAAGGTATGTGGGCAGTCTGTGGCAAATACATCTGAAGAAAGCGTGACTGGCTAAAGAGTCGTCTGAACTTGTGTATGAAGACAAAGAAGTGCTGGGAAGCCCAGGAAAAGAATTAATTGGAAGAATATTGCTAGATACAGAAGAATTGGAACTTTTAACTTCTGCAACAGACAGTGACTAAGAATAAGTACATTGGTAAAAACATCAGCAGTGAAAAGGCAGACTGTGTTTTTTCATTATCTTTTGGATTTTATTACTTAAAAGACGTTTTCATCATCCCATTTAATTAATCTTGAATTTCTCTGTACATAAAACTATAACTGGACAATTGCATTTCAATACTGTTTAGTAACACTTTTGAATGTTAAATCATTTGCCAAGATGAGTGCTGAGGGATATCAATACAGAGCTTTATATGACTACAAAAAAGAGCGAGAAGAAGATATTGACTTGCACTTAGGAGATATATTAACTGTGAATAAAGGTACCTTACTAGCACTTGGATTCAGTGAAGGGGAAGAAGCAAAGCCTGAGGAAATTGGTTGGTTGAACGGCTTTAATGAAACCACAGGGGAGAGGGGGGATTTCCCAGGAACTTATGTAGAGTACATTGGAAGAAAAAAAATATCTCCCCCCACTCCAAAGCCTCGTCCTCCTCGGCCTCTTCCAGCAGCACCAAGTCCTGCAAAAGCTGAATCAGAGAGTGAGCAACAAGGTCAGTATTCAGAAGGCGCATGGTTTCAAGTATTTTTGTTTCACAGTCTTGTCTGAGTGTACTTTCATGTATATAGCACCTGTTGGTTACCTGTTTTTAGTGTGCAGCTCATTTCAGTCAATTAAGAATTGTTTCTACATTGTAATGTTTAGCTCACACACTTTGTAGTTTTGTATGGTTTGTCTCAGGCACAAGGACCAGTGACTTACTGTGGGGTACATCTCACAGGTTAGAAGGTCTGCTTCTAATTCTCCACTCTAAAACCTTAAGTGGAAAATGAGCCAGTTAACATTTATTTTAGGTTTCTAAGAAACTGATGGAAGTATTTCCTTTAGTGGTTCATCAAACTCACTATTGAGAAAGTTCTTGGTGAGTCCAATACTATGCATTCTAAATAAAAGCATGTTCTTACCACAAATCTTCTGCTACCAACAGAAGATATAGTCTCATCATGGGGGGTTACCTGTGGCCTTAAAGGTAAAATTGAGTAATTTAAAATTAAGAATGAAATGATAAATAAAATAAATAAAGAGAAATTCAGATTTATCATTTTGGGGTATGGCATACAGTAGAAAAAGATATCCTTATATGAAAAAAGGTTAAACAGAGGAAATACCTTCCTAAGTTGCTTTTTAAGCTTTATTTGCAACAGGATGCTAGGCACAACTTGGAATTTTATCAGAATTCTTCTGTTAAGAGAAGAAACAAGTCTTGTCTTTTATAATTGGAAAAGCTTTGGGGTAAAAAACCAAAAGAAACAAAAAAACTCTTCCTCCAAGTGATTTTGTCTCTTTTACCTACGGATATTCAAATTTGGGTTTTAACAGATCAATAAGCCAAGTACATTTTAGAATAGACTTTACAGCTTATTGGAGAAGTCTGGAATGGCTTTTATTTCTTCAATTTCTAATGCTTCATAAATTCTCTGGGTTTCTAACTGTCGGTAATAAGAGTTGTAGTATGTGGTCACGTTCATTACTATGGTGTCACTGCAGTGACACCAGAGTAATGAACAGTATCATTGCACTTCCTACACAGAAATGTTTGCAGCATCACTTGCAAATTTGTGGGATCAGTTTATCAATTTTCATCCCTATGTGCGTATTGTAACTTTATATTCAGCTGTGCTGATAACCAGCAAATACAAGGGCAGAAATATACAAGAATGTATGTGGCAACCAAGTTAACCTGGCAGAAGCATTTCTAGGTTGGTGGGGACTTAACAAAGGGTGAATCTGCAGTGGTTTATACAGCAGTGTTCTGAAGCACTGCAGCAGGTATTCCTTACAAGTCTGCAGGGCCTAGATGTAAATCATTGTTAGGATGAAGTTGAGGGCAGATGAGGCTGTAGGGGATTTTTAAGTTGTGCTGTCCCTATCTCTGAAGTCCTTGAACTCTTAACTGCTAGTCATTAGAGCCTCATGTTTTCTCTTTCATTGGCATAGTTCTGAAAATGGAGTATTTCCTTTTAAAAGAAAAACTATTATATCTTTGATCGTTCTTTTATTGGATATTAATTGTGCTGCTCAAGTGACACTGGCAGTTTTCTTAACCCAGCTGTGGAGATAATTGTCATCATCCTGTGCAACTGCAGAAGAAATATGTTTTTTTGGATAGACACCTCAAAGTTGACAGGTTATTTTGAGAAGCAGAGAATGGAAAGAAAATCCCATTCTTTACGTGTTCTGTGGTGTGGTGAAGCAACCAGCGTCCTGGCTTTGATGTTACAAAGTAGCACTTGGTAACTTCTTTGGTTTCTGTACTGGTGCCTGCTCGATGCTTCTGTTCGCAGCACCATGCTGTGAGCTGGCCGCAGCGCTGCGCTGGGAAGTCCTGGTGTTAATCTCGCTGTTTCCAAGCCTGCCTCTGTAGGCAGGACTGTGTTTGTAACAGGCATTTATGGGAGTTTTGGCTGCTGGGAGTTACTTTGGGAAATTCTGCTTCAGATTTGGGGGGGCTCTGCTTATATGTAACCTTCTATGTGAGATTTATTGCCTGTAGACAAAGTACTATTTACATACAATGTGTTTATTTTTAATAGCATGGGACTCTGGGAATTGGAAACAAGAGAATGTTCTGATTTAACTGAGAATCTTCATCTCAAAGCCTGCGCACATAATCCTGCTGTGTTCTAAAATGCTTAAGAATCAGCTTGCAGTCCAACCTTGTTTTCTTCGGATAAAAAAAAAAAAAGGACTTTCCATAGCTGGTTTTGAATTAAAGATTTTAAGCTTCATATAAGAGGCTAGACACCTCCATAATGCCCTAAGACCAGGGATTAGACCCTTCTGAATAGAAATTTGAACTTCAGGCTTAATTACTGTTAAAATAAAGTATGCTTTCCTAAAAGAAATTAGGAAAAGTAATTATAAGTAGTCTCTTTACAGATCTTTTTTCCTGAAGAGATCTGAGGCAGAGAGTGCTTTGAATCTTAGAAGCAGACTTGGAAATTTACTGAAAGAGTATTATAAAAATCAAAATGAGGGTAAGACTTTTAAGTTAGCAGAATGCTACAAAAGTTAGGGTAAAATCAAAGGTGAGGGCAGAAATACAGTTCAGATAAAGAACAATGTAGCAATATATGTTTGATTTTCAGATGGCTTCACTATTTTTGTTTGTGTTATTTGGGGCAGGGAATAGCACAGTTAACATTGTCCAGCCGCCAATGTAATGGGCAGTAGGCCAGGAGATTCTTCCCAAGATGATACTTCTCTCTACACCCTTAGAGTGTATTTCAAATAAATTAAGGTGTAGTGTGAAGTTGCCTGACCAAATGCAGTCAAGTTTACATTTTCACTACTTGATGAATTGAAAGTACTGTGGATTAAAATGACAAATTAACAGGGAACTGTAATTTAAAACTACTTAAATGTACCTCATTTATTTGTAATCTGTATCCTTTTTTAATTCTGTAAAGAGGGAATTCTGTATGTACTCCTGTTGCATATATGTTGAATAAGAGTATCAGAAACTTGCGATTTCAAAGAATATATATGCATAATCAAAGAAGTTCCATTAATTTGCCATATACCTAGGTTTATTTTTTGAAGAAAACTTTTTAATACTTTCACTACTCTTTAATCCTTAATTATTGAATGGTACTTAATTACTGAATGGTTTTCCCCCTTGTCTTTATTAAGCCTGATCACTTGCTCATCGATGTCCAGATTGCTTTATATTGGATATAATTTGCAGTATTTAAGCACAATGCTGCCAGTACTCATAATGCTGTATTACTCAGAAACAAATAATCATAGACATCTGAACACACTTTGCAGTCAAGGAGGCTGTTGACATGGGAAGAGCTCTGCTCATCAGGCCCGTCTTACACAGTCAGTCTTAAAAACAGAGAGCTTCCTAAATGTTAAAAGCCAATCTGAAAACAACCCCCCCCTTGCTGGTGGTCTTAAGTTCAATTAAAACACTTAACTCTTTCCCCATGTTTTTATTTTATTCATCACTTATTTTAAGTTTCTTGAACCATTGGTTAAGACAGGAATTAGCATTCCTTGGCTGAAATGTTAGGACTATTATGTTTTGCCTGTCTTCCCCTTATCTTTGTCAGTAAAGAAGTAGATTTAGTCTGATTTTTGGGGGATTTTTTTAAAATAGCATCTGAAAAGACATAAAAAGAAAAGAGAAACAAAAGCCCCAAGAAGTCTCTAGCACCTTCTAGTATCAGTGTCAGATGATGTAGTGTCAGAGCTATGGCAAGGCAGATGTAATTCCTCTCACTGTTGAGAGATTCCAAGTGATCCAACATGCCACATTTTTTTCCCAGACAAGGGTGCCTGGCTGCTGCTGGGAGAATTGAGGTACTTGCAACTTTGGAGACACAGCATAGGATCATCTTTATTCCCCCCAGCAGATATCTGAAGTTTATGTGAAACAGTAAAGATTTCGCAAGACTGGTTTTTTTTCTCTTGGAATGATTTTTTTTTTAATTTTAATTGAAGCTACATTAGGCTGGTTCCTCTCGCTTATCCCAGTTTTCCTCAATTCTTTGCAAATGGAAAGTGCATAAGCTGTACAAAGTCCAGATATGGTTTTCAAATGTCGATTCAACTCATCTGATATGGCCATATATATTTAGAGTTAATTCATACAGTATCATTTCCCTACCTGTTTTGTGAAGGCTGATCTTAAGCATACTTTGGAGCATTAAGCTTTGATTTATTGACTGAAATACAGATTTAACTCAGAATGCTAAATTCTCACTTTGAAATGAAGATCAGATTGCAGAAGGGCAGACCAAAACTTCATATGAATAATTTGTCTGTTTTGATGTTTTGGCACTTCCTGTATAACTTGAAAGGGTTGTTTATGTTGACACTTTGTACTATTTCAGCTGATTTTGAGCCTAAAAATAATCTGAAGCTCTTCCTTCTTGTGGTAAAACTATAAAAGAGATTTTTTTTTTAAAGAAAAAGTCCAAACTCTTTTTCACTCTTCTTCTAGAACAGATACAGATCAGCAAGTTACACAAAGATAATGACACATAACATTATGTGTCATTATCTTTGGAAACTCTTTCCTTTCACCAACCAGGTTATGCAATATCTGATAGAGTTCCAAACTGACAGGGGGCATAAACCGTTTCTGCATGGTTTAACCAAGTGTGTTGTAGGATTTGTTTCTTTAATTTTGCTCTAAAGCCAGTGTAACGATCCCTTTGTGAAAATTACTTAGATTTGTGTATTGAGGGACATAAGAGTGAGTGAAATGCAGTGAACCTGGAGCCTCCATTGGCAAGAAAACAGTCATCTTGGATGATTTAGGCAAATAGAAAAAGGAAATTATGAGATGATGAGCCACTATCTCATGACATATACAAATGGTAAATATATTTACCATTCAAGCCAGAGCCCTTGAATTCTTTCTTTTTAGAACCAGTTGGAGTATAAGCCTTTGCCCTGCTGCAGTTGTCAGAACTTCATTGCAGACATGAATTTTCACGTCAGTTGAATTTGACTTGCACTGGGAAATGGGGCAAGTTCCTG